CACTTTCCATGGATTCCTTATCTTTGTCAAGCCACTAACTGACAGTTTACAGCAAACTCCAGAATTGATAATAGAATTGAATACTTTTGGATGTGTCACACAGCAGACTATTGGTTCATGATTACTTCGATTCTTATAGTTCAGCAATAGCATGGGAATGCCCTCATAGCTATCGCTCATTTGTACTTACAGATTTATCAGCCTCCAATCCCAAAAGCCAAACAGAATAATCAGTAAAAGAATGTAAGGTTTACATCTTGTCGACATTTCATATTCCCACAACAATAATCACACATACATATACAAGCATAAATATAAAAATCTTTTACAACCTAACCTCGGGTGATAGGAGAAGTTTGTAGAACAAAGTCTTAATTTAACATTTTTAGTCCATCGAACATTACATGAGTGAACATAATCAACTATACGATATGACATTGACATGCATATAACTCCCATCAATTCATCTTATTACTGACAATACTATCTTCAAGCCTGCAAATTCTACAAAGTATTACTGTTTATGGGTTTTGTGCAAGTAATCTAAGCTATTCTTAACTTGAATAACAAAGTCCAACCGAAAGCCGAAAGCCCGCAGACATTTTGTCATTTGACACGCAGTCAACAAACATTCACTACAATGGAGAAGGTTAACAACTGCATAGTGTCAGCAGAAACTAGCGAAGAAAAAGAGGGAGATCAGATATATACATCTTATGAACAAAACTACAAAAGTAACCCAACTTTTTGGAGCTAAACTTAACAGATAAACCAATAACGTTGCCATTCATATCCCCTCAAAGCAACACATTTTCGATTTTCGTTGAGACATTACCTCGAACACTTGCATAAGCACGGCAACTGCCCATCAAACCAAGATTTCCATACGTAACACCAAATCAAAACACTAAAAATGGCAAAAAGGAATATCGTACCTTGACCTAGAAAGGGTGACAAAAGTGGGGGCAAAGGAGCGAGACCCGCAAATTCATTGAGAGGTATCGTGCCGGATTTGGGCTTGGACAGTCTGAGCCCGGAAGGGAGCTTGACATTCGGAAAATGCACAGATGGGCCCGAAGGAGACGCGGTAATGGAAGGCAGGGCAGCCCGGAGAGAGGACAAACTCAACGTCGACGCGGCCATTGCTGTGTGTGGTCGTTTCTTCCTCGGCCGTTTTGATCCTTTGGGAAGATAAAATGGAGATTTCAACTTTTAAGTAGATAGTTTATAGTTTATTATTGGCCCTTACACTATATGTATATTCTCTTGGGGTTCCAGTGAAATATTTGTTTTTTTTCATTTGTGACCTCTCACAGTCGCTTGGGTATCACCAGTGTGGGCCAACAAAAAAACATAATGTCGATTGGGCCTTCACTAGATAAATAAAAAATGTAGCCCATTTGACAAAGTATAATAATGAATAAAAAATGTAGCCCATTTGACAATGTATTATAAAGGTTTATTTTTATTTTTGCATTTTCAATTACAGCATACTTCCTTATTAGTAAGTGTCATTTATTCAGATTAGGCACTGGATTTTTTTTTAAAAAAAAATAACCATTTTTTTCAGCCATTTTTCCAATTTTAACCTACTTATTATAGGAAACAAAACATAATATTGTAGTAAAATGATAATAACAAAAAGAGAGTGGGAAAGTTTAATTAGGTACATTATTAGTTGATTAATTTGACTAGCATGAAAAACCTCTAAAACTAGACTAATTCTAAAACTGATCAATTAATATTTTATGTCCTTATAAACTTAGGCTCCAAACTAGACTATTTGTCAATGTAGATTGCCATTACTTCTTTTAACTTTTATTTTCAAAGAACAAAAATATTTTTAAGTCATCTATTTTCAACCTATTACAGGATTATCTCTTGAGTATTTTATGAGTTAATTGACCATTTTTTAACTATTATTTTGAAAGAAAAAAAAATAATTTTTAGCCGTTTGGATATTAGGAATAAGGTTCCAATAAACGAAGAAGTTTTCCAAGATTTTGATTTTGTCTAACGTAATTTGCATGTTTTGTCAATCGGAGGCTTCCACACGGCAAACATTGACTTTATGACTCCCCAAGTTTTCTATATACAATAAAAAAATAAAAGACACACAAACAACAATATAATTTCCCTGATTTTGAGGCAGATACAGATTTGTCAAATAATATTTGTAATTGATTTTTCATTTTGTCTTTGAGCAAAGATTTGACATCAAACGTACAAACAGGGTAAAAATAAACGATGAAATACACCTACGTCTAAAAGCAAAGTTAAATGTTTAGCATAAATCAAGAACTACTAAGTTTGATAACAGTTTTGTTATGGAGTTATCGAATGACTCGATTTATGGAGTCATCCACACTTATTCACCAATAGTATATTGACACGTGTCCTGTAATAAATACAATTTGGACAAGTGTCAATACATTAAGTGGTGGATGGCTCCATAAGAAAACCATCCGATAGCTCCGTAAAATTTTTAAATTTATTAATTAGTTTGATTGAAAGGTCAAATGATAGTTGATAAATTAAATAAATCAGTTGATAAATTAAATAAATCAGATGAAAAACTATCTTGAGATGAGCTCGGTATTTTTTTTTTTTTAGAAAAATTATCAAGAGTCATCAAATTATTTTATTCATTTTTATCTTAGATTTACTATAATTTTTAAATCTATCTCATTATTTTTCCAAAACAAAAATTGCACTTTGTCTTCTATATATATTTTCATATGGGATTTTTAAAATAGTTTAGCTGCCCTTGAACACAGGATACCAAAAATGTCCAATGAATTATTTTCTTTTCTGGTTTTATCTTCACCAGCAATTAGTTCTGTTTTTCAGTTGATACAGTTGTTTGATATAGACTCTGACTCCTTTTATTCAACATTGATGTTCAATAAAACTGTTACTGAGATGAAATTTTATTCTAACTTTAGCAGCCATGTGGTTTTTTCTGGTTTTCTAGAATTTTGGATGGCTTTCTAGTTGCTCGTGAGATGATTATACAAGACAAGTTAGCAAGATAGTGATTTGTATGGTCAATTAAATGTGTGCTACTATTTTTTTAAATTTTTTTATAGGTAACACATGAATAAAATGTTGAATTCCTGTTTCCCGCGAATAATTTAATATAGACTGTGTTCGGATTGTCATTGACCAGCAAATTAACATAATAAAAAATTAATGAAAAATCATCACAATTAAAATAATTTTTAATAATAGTACGTATAAATACTCGTATAATACATGAGTATTAATAAAGGAAATCACACTTAATTTTCTAATAGTTTGAAAAACAATGCATTATTAGTTCTATTTTAAACAACATCCGTCACTTGAAAAACACGCTCGGCTATGTTATAGTAATTAGTAAGTTCTTTTAACTCGTATTATATAATAAATTTGATAGAATAATTTGGATAATAAATTCATTATCTTTAAAGAGTGTACATTATAATTTTATTTTATTTATAGAAGTAAATATTTTTTATGTGATATATAAAATAAGGATGTCAAATCAAATATATTCAAAATATAATCAATTTGATATATCATGTAAAAAAATGTAAAATAAATAAATAAAATTATTAACTTTTAAAAATATAATTATAATTTCAATTGGAAAAATGCTTTATAATTTTAATTAATACTAATAAATATGACTAAAATTCCAAATCTGGCTGCAAATGTTGACATATAAATTACGAAGCATTACATGTTAGACATTTAAACTTGGTAAACTAATATTTACCATTACCATTAAAAAAATCATAAATTTATGAGAAACCCACAAAAAGTTATACAAAGTACAAACAAATATTCTCACATATATTTCATCATGTCTTTATTTCCACACCAAAATTATGGATTGAAAAGAATTTTTTTTTTTTCACCATTTCATAACAAATGATCTCATCCCCGCATAAAGTCTTGCCGCAACTGATTGACCAGAATTTTCTTTTCCCCCATGACGATGATGCCAAGAAAAGAATCAAAATAAGACGCTAGTTTGAACACTCAAATCATTCTAGATACCTTTTAATTTTCTTATTTTACTCGATCACCAAATTTTATTATATAATAAAGTTGTGCAAAAGTGAGATCAAAATTTTCATCTGCCTCAAAAAGCTAAAAAACACCTTTTTTAAGCCGCTTCTTTAAAACGAGTTTCCTCATTTGAAGTAGAGCACAAGCAATCCCATTTGCCTTTTAGGCTTTTACACAGTTCATCATCATCTCAAGGTACTCAAAAAATTTGGCTACAATTCTGTATGAATTATCATTTTCAATTTGCCAGTTTGCTGGTGAGTTTATGTATTCTTGACCATTTTTTCTGCATTTTTGTGCCTGCATGTGAAAGTTTTGAGGCTCTGTTCTTAAAACCCATCAAGCCATACAGGAAAAAGGTTGAAATAAAATCAAACCCCTAAAGTTATTTATTTTTATTAGAATGGCTCTTGATGTTTGCTAATTCTTTGTGCTTAATCACCCTTTTTCCACATTGTTTTTTCTGCATGCCTAAGTGTTGAAGCTAAAGTTTCAAACTTTATCCTCTGTTCTTAAACCCATCAAGCCAGACATGAAACATATTGAAATAAAATTAAGACCCTAAATTTAATTTTTCTTAAAATGTTCTTGATGTTAATTCTTTTGTGGCCCAACATATTGTGCACTTTTTTAAACAAAGACTTCCATTTTTTTCTATGTTGGCGGCCTTTTTTGGGTGGAAAGGGAGGTAAAGTCATCTCTGCTTTTTGGCCTAATTTCTCGTTATTTTCCCATCATTTGTTCACACAAATTTTAAACCACCAAGTTTTCTATCTAGCCTTTTGTAGCTTTAACTCTTTCTTTTTCCAAGTCTACTTATTGATTGTGAGAAACTTCATTCATAGGGTGGGTGTTGGCTAAAGCCCTATAAGAAGATCCTATTCGAAAAAAATAAATAAATAAATCAGTATCAATATTGATCACAAGATTAGCCTTAATCAGACCCCCACACTTAAGTGTGTGTGTGTATGAGAGGCAGTTTGTGTTTAAAAACTTACATGTCTGTAGTTCTCTGTTAAATACAGATAAATTTGGTTATGAGTTCAAAAGAGATGATGAACTCAACAAGCGGCAGCTCGTCCTCAAGGAAGCATCTAATCTTCGTAATTAGCATGGCCGTGGCCTTGTCGGCCTCACGAGCTTCTGGTAAATTTTCTATGCTGTCTGATTTTTTATTTTATTTTTTTCTGCAATAGATAATTCTGTAAATTGCAGTAATTTTTGTTTTCTTTTTTTCAAGATTGTATCTTTTGATTGATTGAGTCATTTTGTTACCAAACTGGAATATAGTTTTCGTTTCGATTTTCCTGAACATAGAAAATGAAAATAAATAAATAATTCTCAGCCCAGACGAGCAACAGTAGCCTACATTTGGACAACACCGTACGAGTCGATCCTTTAGACAATCTGAGGAAGTACAGAGAAGGTTATGATGTGACGAACGAACATTACTGGAGCGTAAGCATCCCGTTTTATTTTTTTCCTCCCGACACAATTTGTTTTTTACTGTATTCATTCGTAACTTAATTTCATCTTTCATTTTTCTTTTACTAGTCGACTGCTTTTACCGGTGTTTCCGGTTATGCCATATCAGCAGCATGGCTCATGTGTGGGCTCGGTTATGGAGTATACCTTCTCGTTCGAAAATCTTTCAAGAAAAACAGAAAACCGAAGAAAATCGTGCCGTGTCACAAGAACTGCCGTCTAAAGCCACTTGTCATAGCTATTGTTTTTACAGTCCTTGCAATGTAAGTAATAACACTTTTACGGTCTTGATGAATTGTTAGTCGAGCTGACAAAAGTTAAAATATTTATTTCCTCTCGTCTCGTTTTTTGTTCAGATTGGGCGTTGGCCTTGTTCTTGGAGGGAACGCGAAATTTCACTCGAGGGCAAAAACCGTGATCGACATTGTTATAGACACGGCAGACGAAGCTTCAGACACCATACGCAACACGACACAAGCTATGAAGGAAATGAACATCACTTTAGGAAATGAAACTTTAGGGACTGAGTCGAGTGACACCCGGGCGACTCGTTTTCTGACTAGGACTTCACGGGCTCTCGATGATCAGGCTGCAAATATTTCAAGACAAGCTTCGAAAAACAGGCGCCTAATCAACAGAGGCCTCAACATAGTGTATGTTTTCTTTTCTTTCATCCTTCTTTTCATTTTCACTCCGCAGATTAACGAGTGGTATCTGTTTTTTCTTTTTTTTTTTGGNCTGTGATTGCTCTTCTAGGTGAGTTTCAAAAGAAAAAAAAAATAAAAAGAATAAAAAATATGAGTTTTTTTCAGATGTTGAATTTATTAGCTACCCTTTTGTTGATGTATTATATTGGCTAAATCATTTTTTCTCTTTTTCGCAGTGTTTGGTGTATTGAAATTTTGGAGGAGTCTTCAAGTGTAAGTGAACCTGTTTGTAGTTTTAAATCAGGACAAAAACATTTTTTAATTCGAACTCCAGAATTACTCATGAAATTTACAATTTTAACATACCTCGTGCAGATTAATCGCGCTTTGCTGGACACTCACTGTCCTCTGCTGGCTGTTCTTCGGCATATACCTCTTCCTACAAAAGTACATTTGTACCCATAAATTTCGTACACGCATAACCTATGTCAGATTTTCTAAGAAAATGTTGGAACATTTTTTTCTCCAGCTTTGCAAATGACACGTGCACGGCATTCGAGAGCTTCCAACAGAATCCTTACAACAACAGCCTCAGCTCAATTCTCCCCTGTGACGAGTTGCTTTCTGCACGAGCCGTTCTTGATGATGTTAGTTCAGGAATATTCGACCTAGTGAACGAGGTAAATTCAATTTGAGTACCAATTTTGCAGCTATATATATATTTGATATTTTCTAACAAAATACAACAATTTGCAGGTGAACAACAATATATCCACATCATACGGCAATATTGTTCAGATATGCAACCCGTTTTCTCCACCTCCCACATACGAATACCAACCTTCGAATTGTCCAGTCGAGTCAATCCGAATAGGCGATATTCCCCGGGTAAGGATATATATAATAATAAAAAAAAAAAAAAATCGCGAAAAAATGATGTTTTTTCATGAACTATTGAGACTGCTGACGTGTCACGATTTTTTGAATAGGTGTTGAGACTGCTGACGTGTCCCGATACGAATGGTGGGACGTGTAATGGAGGAATTGTTGTTCCAGCTGGCGATTTTAACCGGGTCGAGGCCTACACGACATCTGTACAGAGGCTGCTGGACGTGTACCCGGGCTTGGAAAGCCTGGTCGAGTGTGGTACGGTTCGGGCCGCCTTTGCTGAGATTCTTGAGAGTCACTGCGGCCCGTTAAGGAGGTATGCCCGCATGGCGTGGGCCTCGCTGGCCTTTTTGTCAGTTGTGATGGTTGTGTTGGTTCTCTTGTGGGCTGCTGGGGCCCATCATGTTCGGGCCCAACATCCGTTGGATGGCTCTGTGAAGCCGCATTTGGTGGGGGGATTGGAGGTTGGGGAAGACGGGTTGGAGCATAATGCTGATGTGTAGATTTTTTTTTTTTTGATATTTTTTTTAAGGAAAAATTTGTACAGGTAGAAAAATATACGGAGTATTACACTTGTCACGGTTCGAGAGGTCGAGGATAGGTGCCAGCATATATAGGCTGAGAGCTCCACATATGTCACAGTCACACACAGAGTTTTCTGTTTTTTTGAGGTTAGGATTATAGAAATAAGAATATACAAGATTGCCAATGGGGACAAACCCCTTAAGGCATGCAATGAATTTTTCTAGGCCAGTGAGTATAATTTTATGTTACATTTCTTATATTGGTAAAGTTATATTCGTTGGAGGAAAAAAAAGGACATTTCTTATAAAATTATCAATGGAGTAATGAATTTTTCATAGGTCCTTGAATTGTTACTATACACAAACAATAAGCAATTTATAAAGGCAAAACCAAATATCAATGGAGTAAAATTAGAATATGGGAAAAAACTAACACCCCAAACTATGAACTGTTTGTTTTCGGACAATCAGTCATATAAGCTACACGATTTTTTTATTTTTTTTATTTTTTTTATTTTTTGTTTCAATTTGAGGGTGATCATTAGTTTTTCCCCTTAGAAAACATAACCCAAAATTGCAGCAAAGGGTTAGAAGCCTTTAATCAAAATGTCCATTGTCATCCATGTTCCTTTCCAAGTTTTTTTCTCTTCTGGAGAAAAATAAAAAGTAATTAGTTAAACTCCAACCTCACCTTCCAAAAGTTGGCTGTCACACATATTAGTCATATATGAACTCCCTCAAAACAAAAAAAAAGGGAAACTTTCACTTTTGGTTGGATTTTCGAAATAATAGTTGGAAAATCAATGACCGTGCAAAAGGTCCTCCGGGTCCAATTCCACCCCTGTTCGCCTCTTTATACTCGCACACGATTCATGGTGCAATTTGTTCATTCTCTGCAACTCCACAAATCTCTGGATATCGAAATTGTATTTCTTGATGAGTTTCCTCTGCCTCGAGAGGAAGAGCCTCTTGAGCAAGTCTTGATAAGTTGGGTCCCTTGAGGTGATCAAGAAATAGGCATAGCCTAAAACAATTCCAGTAGTGGTAGTGAAAAATGCAATGGGCTCCATTACATCCCAAGAGAATTCCCAAAAGGTCAGGCGGAAGAAAAGCCCGACTTGCACCACAGCAAAGCCCAGCCCAGTCCAAAGTATGCGGCGAACCTGCTTGTGGGCCAGCATGTCGATTTCATCCTTTTTCTCTTGAAGCTTCTTGAGCTCGTTTTTGCACGGGTCATCTTCAGGTAAAAGTGAAAGTGGAACTGCTCTCCTAACCAAATCGACCACCTGCATATAAAGGATCATGGAAAAAGACTGTTGAGAGGCTGCATTTTCCAATCATAAATCCTAATTAACTCTGACATTTTATTCAAATTCAAAGACTTTTATAATTCTCTCCCTCAACTTCTTCTAAACATTATTACAAATACTCACAAATTTTCGTCTCACGTTTTTACATTTAAATTGACTTACTTTTTCTACTTCACTTTATAAATAGCAAGATGCAAAGTGGGGATTTTTTATATTCATAGAACTAAAACCTCAAGGGTGCTTTTTGTAAATACCACAAATCTTGAGGGCGTAAATGTCTATAGACCAAAATGTACATCGAAATGAAGATATCATGTGAACACCGAACTTTTAGTGAACAACAGTTAAGCACCATTGCCATCAATATAATAGCAATTCCCAAATGCATCATAAACAATACTAATAAGTTACCTGAGGTTGTATCTAAAGCTTATTTTTTAAATCTTAACCAGCTGCTATTTCGAAATTTTCATATAGAATAAATTGATGATTAGCATGGAAATAACGCCTAATTTGCCCATCCTCGAAATGCATTTAACCAACCACCAAGTGCAATCATTCTCCGAAGGTGGAAGCACAACCATCAGAGCACCAAATCAAGAACCCAATTAAACTCAACTCTATGAACACAACATAACAAGGATCACAAGATTCCCAGACATGAATATAATTATATAAGTTGAGGATCGTTCAATCAGAAAATCATTGAAATCAGACTCCTCAAATGAAATGTCAAACATAACATGTAACACATACAGTATACCAACCAGAAGCATTATTAAAATATCTTGTTAGATGACCAGTAATATTGCTAGTACTTTTAGTGAAACCTTGGAATTCAATCTGGTTAGAAATGAGATATGCATTTTAATGCCACCTCAGGACAGTAGGAATAAGTAAGCAGGGTCATTGTAAGTTATATAACAAAGCTTACAATGTAATGTAATCAACCCCTGGAAAATGGATAAGTGTATCCAACCTCTTAACTACTTATGGTAGGCACGGGAGGAAGTAATGTTTAACCCCAACAAGTGTTTTTTCTGTAAAAAGAAAAACCAAATAAAGAAAGATTGTCCAAAGTTCCAAAAGTGGCTTGAGAATAATGATACTCAACTTTCTTTTGTTTGTTACGTATCTAATATGGTTGATGTTAATCATAACACATGGTGGATTGATTCTGGTCCTACAATCCATGTTATCAATTCTTTGCAGGCATTGCAAAATCTATGGAAACTAGTGGGAAGTGAGCATAGCATCTATTCGGGAAACAAGATGCCCTCACATGTGGAGACAGTAGAAACGTGCAAACTGATTTTAAGTAGTGGTTTTGTTTCGTTTTTGAAAAAGACTTTTTATAATCCTAGTTTGCTAGGAACTTGATTATAGTATCTATGCGAGTTTGGGGATGTCCATCTGAAGTGAGAGTTTACAATCCTCAAGAAAAGAAATTGGACCTGAGGACAATAAGTGGGTATATCGTTGGATATGCCGAAAGGTCTAAGGGATATAAATTTTATTGTCCATCCCATACCACTAGGTTTTTGGAATCTTTGGAGAAAGGTCTAAGGGATATAACTTTTAATGTCCATCTCATACCACTAGGTTTTTGGAATCTTTGGAGCAATGGGAGCAGTCGATCTTTGGACATAAGTTCTAGGAATGACTATTATAGAAATCTCATTGCAAGTGATAGCATGACTGTTGTCAATAATACGCCTCAAGTTCATACATATGTTGAACAACCAGTTTTAGAAATTCCACAAAATGTTGAACCAAATCTTGTAGATCCTGAAATTCAGCATATTCCTGATCCAATTGAACAAGATTCTGGAAATCAGGAAGCTATTGATAATAAGTGCATTGTAATACATGGGAGATACTACTTAATTTTAGAGAACACATGGCCATTACCATTTTTTCTACAAGTTCTTCCAATAACTCAAACATACACAAGCAATTGCTGGAGGTATGTAATCTCGATCATTCCGCTGCATCGATATATGATTAAATAGGATAAATATTCTTAACAGATACTGCCATCAATCAAACAGCTCAAGCTCAAACTGACTATAGGCTCACTGTCCTGACTCCCAACAAGATCTATATAACAACTTGTCCTAAATCGTATAAGATGAACAATGTTGTGATTAACAATCAAAACCACCCAAATCAAAAGGAGAAAAAGCAAATAGCCCACACAATAATCATAATTAAAGCACAAAATACAGCCCAACCCCACCACAGACAACCTCCCATAAATTCCATTGTCCATCAACCAAAGAAAACACACAATTAGAAACCCAGAAAATCCACAGAAACGCAAACCTTATCAGGATGGAGATACACTTTGTCCCTGAATAGCAAAACGACGCCGGCCTCATCAAGGACTCGAGCGAAGGCAGCTGCCTCCTCCGGCGACTTAGCCACACCGATGCCCTCGCAGGCCCTCAGGAGCTCCGCGTAGGAGATCGCCTCCTTACCCTCCACGCCCAGCCTCTCCTTAAGCGCCTCCACATCCACCAGCCTCATCAGCTTCTTCGCCTCCGCGTAAGTCATCACATTTTCACCATCGTCCCGGCGGCAGCCCTCGGCAGAGCTACTGCAGTAGTGGCGGAACGACGGCGCCAGGGGCCCGGCGCAGTGGGGGCCCGATCGGGACGTGGTTCTGGGCCAATCGGGTCGGGAAGCCAATTTGGAGGCCCGTTTCAACAGATTCACACCCGAATTCCTCCACATACTCCCAACGATTTCTTCGCCGCTTTTTTTTCTACAAGATTTCCTTTTTAGCAGTTACGAGATATTAAGAGTAGGGTTCCGCGTCCGCCATTAAAGGTAAAACTTTGCCCTTGCGGGTTTTGGTAATTCGAGAAAGAGAGAGAGAGAGAGAGTGATTGGTGGACACGATCTGCAAACGGCTAATTTTACTCGGTGTTAGCACCCCACACTGCGTGTACATGTGGTGACTGTATTCATCACTTATCAGGCAAGGCTTTTTTTTATATATATTTGTTAGAAAATAAAATTTTTAAGTTACATGAATTTTATTTAGATTTTAATTATAGGATTATCCTTGCGAACTTTGTGTAATAATTACGTTAATGAAATATTAATTTTGTAGTTGCCTTAGATGTTGGTGCGCTTGTGGCTTTTGGAGTGGCTTGTTAGCTGTCGGAAATAGCTTTAGTCTAATTTTTAGTTTTTCTTGTGTTTTTTTTTGTGTTTTGATTTTTTCGTGTATTTTCTTTTTTGGAAATTTTTGGTTGGTTCTCTAGACTACATTCGGTGCAATCCTCTCAACTATAAGTTAGACTTATTTTTCTTGTATAAAGTGACAACTCACAAGTAATATTATATTCTAATAATATGCAATATAAAAAGAATGAAATAAAAAGAAATTATGGTAATTATGAAGAACAATATGGAATGAAATAAATAATATAATATATTATGAAAATAATTTTGCCTAATGGACATTTAATATAGTACTTGACCTAAATTATATACCAATACAAAGCATAAAAATATGACAAATAAGATCATAAAATATGGAATCATTGGGCACATTAGGATTACCCAACCGCTTCGCATTTAGTAGAATTTGTGGACTCCATTAAATTACCCACCTACCGCAGCAGGTTTAATAAATTTTATACTATTTGAAGTCATCCTAAATTGACTGAAAAAGGGGCACAGCGAATAATAGCCACACATGTAAAGTAACCAATTCGTTTTATATGTAGTCTAGCCTTTTACATTAAAAAAATAAATAAATGGAATCAAATATATTTGAAAAGAAAAAATGGGACAAAAAGATACGATTTGCAAACTAAAGCTATCTAATTAAAAAAATAATACTGATTTAGTGCCTTTAAAAGAAGACAAATATTAAATTGTAAAAAGTCATGCATAGACAAAGCTAAATTTCCTATTGGATCACACACACTCACACATATCCATATGAGAATGTGCTGATCCAACGAGCTACCAAACTCGATGTATGCACCTACTCCACTTTCTCTACAAATATTTAGACATTCCAAAACTACAAATTTACGAAAGGCAAAATTGCATATAAAGGCACCACCACCTTTAAAGTTTTTACAATCTAATCACCATCTTTAACTAATTGCACTTAAATCACCACATTTCAGGTCGAATCATAAACTAAAATTCCATAGACTTTCCGTCTGTGCCAAGTGAGCCACGTAGACATTCCGTCTATGCCAAGTCAGCTCCAATCTAACGGAAGTTAAATTTATGTTTTGGATCAGCAAAACATATGAAATATGAAAGATGGTGATTTAAACGCAAATAGCAGAATGTGGTGATTAAACTGCAAAAGTCTTAAAGGTGGTGCCTGTATATGCAATTTCGCCTTCACGAAATGAACAAGCAAATGCCAAAGCTCCCAGTAAGATTCACAATCCCACAATCTCAGCAAACATGTTTGCATCAATCCATTTCCCTGTACAGTCTCGACAAACAAAAGTATAGATTTTACATTGATCTGCAGACAATATGCTCGTCGGCCTGTAGAATTAAAAATTCGAAATGCGGGAATATTGAATTTACAGTTGCCAGGCGTGTAAACTCGAGAAGCTATGGTTTTTCACTATGGCCAATTTAAGATGACGTATAAGCATGCTTATAGTATTATCCATTCCTCTTCACTGGCTGTGTCTAGCCTTTCTCAACGTTTTTACCATGCCTCTTGTAATTTTCCAGAACCAAAACACGTTCATAAGTGATATAACAGGTGGTACCGTAAGCAAGCTGTAAAAACCTAACGGGAAGATTTGCTTGACCTGGAAAAACAAGCACGTTAAACAAAATTACAATACTAGTAATTTACGGAACATTTACAACTGCCGGTCACATCTCATAAAATTTACAATTTATCAGAATTAACTAGGAGATTTAAGCTTAGGAAAAAAGTTTGAGAGCAATATTTAGAAAGTCGAATAGACTATCATTTAGAAATGAAGTTACAAAATGATAAACGATTAATCAGTAAACAAAGCCGTCACCTGATCATAATGGATAAATATGTGGTAGAAAAAGAACACAAACAAAATGATCCTCGCCACCTGAAAATCATCCACGTAATTACATACATCAACAGTATGAACAGTAGCCAAAGAATACCAAATCAAAAAGAATGTGTCAGGTCACATTCATATAGGAAAGAAAAATAATTTTCTGTGTAATAGAAGGCAACAGCAATCGTCCACTTTATTTTAGCATTTATCAGCAACTTGAGGTACTTATGCTAAGGTAGTGAAAAACATAGGCATTTTTTATAAAGTGAACAAGCTAAAGCTAACTCTCATTGAAACAAACTTAAAAGATAATCAGAACATAATTTATTCCATACTGCAATTAAAAGATGACCGAAGAATGTATAAGAGCATTACAAGTTATAACTATTCAGGGAGGATATATTTAACAGTTTAGATGGACAATTACAAACAGTAAATGGAGCATAATTCATTATGAATTACTAATTTGACGATGCATAACAATGCATGAACCCTATTAGACAAGCAAAAATGAGTTGATATAATTTGATGACATACCAACCACCCAAAGAACAATGCCACGCCATTGTAGATATACATTTTGGAGTTCTTCATGCCAGCAGTATCAAGATACCTGAAAATTACATTCAAGGAAGAAATAAATAAATGATAAGTAAATATTAAATAAGGAGTATTTGTCCAAAAAAATAAATTGATGTTGAACTTAGCAATCAATGAGTGACTTCAGTAAGAGCTTCGTGTCTCCAAAGCTCACCATCTTTGATTAACAAACGGTGTTGTGACTTCAGTAAAGAGAACCATAAGTATATACATTTGTGCTTCACCACTCAAGAGGGACAAAATGATACAATACATGGATAGTCCATGATGTACGACCTAGCAAAACAGATAAGCACTATAACCACAATGCTCCAGAACAAATATGACATGACATATCCTATAAAGCATAAAATATTATATGTTACTTGGTGAGAAGAAAAAGCATAATGAATACATTACAT